CTTGTTTTTTGAGGAGTTGGTATCAGTTTTAGAATACGTTACAATGTTAAACTCAAACATCTTGTTGATGGGTGATTTTAATGTGCATATCGAAAAAGTTAATGATCAACATACCATTCGTTTGTTTGAAATATTAAAAACATTTCAGTTGATAAATCACGTGCATGAACCAACTCACATTCTGGGTGGTACTCTTGACCTAGTAATTAGTTCTAGTATTTTCCTATTTCCAGAACGATGGTATCTCCTTGTGGGGTTTTTTCTGACCATAGCTTCATAGAAATTGAGACATCAATTGCTCACAAATATGGCATCAAAACAAAAAATATTGTCAGATCGTGGAAGTGCTTCAATGACGATCAATTCATTCAGGCAGTGTTGAATTATCCTTTATCAGGTTCATGCCGAAATGAAGACGTCGGAGATGAAATGACCACGTTCAATGATGAAATAAAAAGTATTGTCGACAGATGTGTATCACTACGGGTGATTTATGAAAAGAGTGAATGCACTGCACCTTGGTTTGATGGGGAGTGTTTACGAGCTAAACGCAAATGTCGAAAAATGGAGAGGCATTACAGGAAATATTTGTCAAACTTGCATCGCAATAATTGGTTAAATTCTTTGAAAGATAAACATAAACAATATTCAGACAGGCGCATTGGGTAGTGGAACAATTTAATTAAGACTACTTAAAACCTGTTCTCTAGATATCATGCCAACACATGTTTTTAAAAATTATCTCGATGTGCTCATCAGTTTCTTGAAGAATTTTATTAATCTCTGTTTACAGCTGGGTAAATTACCAAAGTATTTTAAGCATGCCAAAATTGTTCCAATCTTGAAAAAAACTGGTTGTGATGGTAATGAGATTGTGAACTATAGACCAATTTCTAATCTGCCATTTATTTCAAAAATCATGGAACGTGTTGTCTTGAGGTGTCTGTTGAAGGACCTGGATGAAAATAATTTGATGACAATTCATCAGTCTGGATATCGCAAATACCACTCCACTGAAACTGTTATATTACAAGATCTATCGAATTTATTTGTGGCTGCAGATGATCATAATATTTCGGTTTTATCATTTTTAGGTATGTCATCAGCATTTGATTATGCTCTACTTATGGTGTCTCTGGTGTTGTTCGCAAATGGTTCGGATCATATCTTATCGACCGTACACAACAGGTTGCATTTAAAAACTCGGTATCAGATGTAGCATTGGTGTCATCTGGAGTGCCGAAATGATCTGCTCTGGGGCCCATCCTATTCCTGCTCTACACATCCGACGTAATTAAAATGATCAATTCATATGGATTTGTTTGTCATGCTTTTGCTGATGACATTCAGATATTGGTCATCTGTCCTCCAAACTCGTCTAGAAATGAAATCGGCAGTTATAATTGGATGTCAAATAACTCATGTCAATATATCCTTCAGTACAACAGCTTCCAATCTTGGGGTTTTTCTTGACAGCAAACTGTCTCTTTTATTACGCACTTAAGAAACTTACATCAAGTTAGATATTTGTTAGACAGACCAACAAAGAAGGGTTTAGTTTATGCTTTCATATCAACACGGCTGGATTACTGTAATAACTTGTTTTATGATCTGCTTACAAGGTCAATTGCGATTCTTCAGTCAGTTCAAAATAGGGCTGCAAAACTTGTAGCCGGAAAATTAAAATTTGACCGTGTGACGCAAATTTTAAAAGAACTGCACCGACTGAAGATTGAGAAAAGATTTATTTTCAAGATCGTGGTAATGGTATACAGATCGTTAATGGTTTGTCACTGATATATCTCAGACAAATTTTCTAAAAAAAGTCTGCTCCAAGTTCGCATCTACGATCAAATAATATGAATTCGCTGGTGGTTCCGGTAAGATGATTGCGGTTTGCTTCGAGAGATATTGCTTTTGCTGGTCCGACCATCTGGAACAGCCCACTGGCATCAATGAGAAGACCAGGAATTTGTCTTTTTTTGTTCAAAAAAGAATTGAAAACTTTTTTATTTTCCTCTTGAATATGTTTATGCTTGTATATATTTAGTTTATGTATAGTAACAATTTTGTTTTTGCATTGCTATAGTGATATTGTGTATGCTTATTAATTTATTTATGACAATTACGCACAGTAATAATTTTGTTAAATTCTTTTGATAGCACCTTTGGAAGGTTTTAATTGGCGCTATATAAATTTATCTTAATAATAGTAATATATAAATCCCGATGTTTTA